ATGATAAAACTTATTTCTACAAATATTTGATCAATTAGAAAAGTATTAATATAAAAGTAGCTGGTGGAGGGTATTTAAGATTCGGCTCAGCCGAATATAGCACTCTAACTTGTTTGTTGTTCAAATGGAATTATTTGAATATTCAAAAAGTAAACTAAAGAAACTAAACATACACATTGCTTAATGAATAATATTATATATGGGAAACATTTTGGTAATATTATATTATATATGGGAAACATTTTGGTAAATTTTTATTTGTATTTTGATTGGGTAGCGAAGCACCCAGGGTAAGCTAGTGTATCATAAGAAAACAAACTTATACAGATCTGAAGATATTATTGATTCGTTAGGTATATGGAAGTTGCCATAGGAGCACAGTAGTACCAATGACAGATTAAGCACGAAAAAAGTTCTTGATTAAAAGCACTTAGAAAGATAAAAATTTTTATGAATATGTGACTTGGTAAGGTGCGATTTTATGCCAAAAATGGGCGGATTTTATTGGGTGGGTGTGGCACTTTTCCTATTAATCAAAGTTATAAAATCAAGTAAGAATGTATAGTCGGTCATGGTCGACCATATGATACCCTACACCAGTGAGTATGTTGATTATTTTTTTATAATAAAAGGTTGTGTTTACAGTTGTATGTGGGGGTTACAGTTATATAGGGGCTAGGTGAAATAATGGACCAATTTCGTCCTTGAGTCAATAGAAGAGTATGTGCCACATTTCATCAAATTATCTTGCGAAATGTAGCGTGCGCACAAAACTTAAAGACACACAGACGGACGGACAGACTGAGGAAATTGGTATACTTTAAGGTGGGTGTTGGACCAATATTTTAGGAAGGTCGTCCGTACATCGACGTTGACGATCCGTTAACATTTTTGTCATTCGAATTTTTTTGCTAGAAAGAACAAAATATTCATCTAACCAACTTTTAAAGAAATTCTGGAATACTCCCTTTGTTCCATATACCAGGGACCATTTTTTCGATAATTAGGTGATGAAATTCAGTTTTTCATCCTTTTTTCTGCCAATGTTCATAAAAAATTTAAAATATATATTTGCTTTTCCTGGGTCTCTTCTAAGTAACAAACATTAAACAATTCAATTTTGGTGATAGACTTCGCAACTAAATGTTATGAAAGCTTTCAGGCAGAAATCGGCAGGTAATTTTTTACCATTTAACTGAGCACATATCATAGATGATAACGACATACAACATTTAGCTAAATCGGATTTAATTCACAATTAAAACTTTAACACAAGTTATAATACTATTAAAATGGCACAATTAACGAAAATATCTTAGTTTTCACCTATTTTTTCCTGAACGGAATGCAAAATGTATAAAAATTTTATACATTTATGTAGGCTTGAGACCAGGGTTTCAAAAAACTGCTAATTGCAGTCGCAAATTACTAAATATTTGACTAAATTTAGTACCATGCTTAAATAGTAACTCGTTAAAATTTCCCCTTACAAGCTAACTGAAGTCAGTCAACTGTGTCAACACATTGCTGCAATAACTTGCAAGTGGTTTTGTTTTTCTTCAGCAGCCACACACACAAGCAGCGGCCATGTTAAGTTTTTCAGCCGAACTGAACACAACGACTGAACAGTAAACAGTTTTGCGTGTGCTGCTTACGTATTGCTTAGTTTTTGGTTTCGTTTTCTTACTAAGGGACGTAAAAAAAACTGATAGTTTGACTGGTTAGTACAAATCAAGCCGACTGAACAATAAAACTTGATGGGTTGTTTGTTCAGTAAGACTTTGTTATTGTATGCAATTTGTTTTAGTATATTGTATGTTTTTGTGTTTAATGTTGGCAAAAGTAAATAAAGTAATTGATAATTATTGCTAATAGAAATTGTTAATTAATTTAAAATTTATAAAATTATAAATTACTATACTTATAAATTTAGATATTTTCTTTAAATAAAAATTGATTTAAATTTAAGCATTTTGATGATTTTTTAGTGAGATTTTGTTATTGTATGTATGTATGTATATTAGGGTGGGTCGAAAATAGGCTTTTCGCTCGGATCAAAATCTAATAGTGAAATTATGTTGTATTTTAACGTCAATTTTTTGAGGGTAAGAGCCCGCGCATCGCCGCCAAAGTTTGTAAATGCGTTTATATGGGAAAAATGGCACTTTTTGGAGTTTTTTCACAAAATGATGCTTTAAGTATTAATTATTGCACCATTTTATAGCAAAATCGTAATGTCTACAAAATTGTCTTTCCAAAATTTTGGGATTCTGAAGACATATAAAAGTAAATATAAGAAAATTTTTGTTAGTTTTGAAAAATTTTACAAAAAAATATTATGTTTATCTTTATAAGGTTCATAAATGTGCTAGTACGAATTTTTGTTCAAATTGGATAACACTTACTCGGTTTAGTCTGTGGTCAAAAAAGGGCCATTATTTTAACAGCATCTCCAAAACTCCATTTTCAAACTTTAAAAAATTTTGTTAAATGGATTATTAAAAATTAAAGTTTTTTATGCTGGATATTATAAAGGATATATATAAGAATTAAACACAGAAAGAATGAGCTTAATACCTCTCATAGTTTTACCGTACCTGCGATGTGATTTTGACCCCGGTTTTTAGAGGGTTAATGATTTTTAATTTCGGAAATTTTATCTGAAATAATTTTTCATGGACTCGGAAATAATAATCGCAATTTAATTGATCAAAATTAAGCAACAATTGGTAATAATATAATTTTTACTTAATTATTGGCAAAAATTGCCTTTTTCCCGAAATCCTTCAAATTCACATCGCAGGTACGGTAAAACTATGAGAGGTATTAAGCTCATTCTTTCTGTGTTTAATTCTTATATATTCTTTATAATATCCAGCATAGAAAACTTTAATTTTTAGTAATCCATTTAACAAATTTTTTTAAAGTTTGAAAATGGAGTTTTGGAGGTGCTGTTAAAATAATGGCCCTTTTTTGACCACAGACTAAACCGAGTAAGTGTTATCCAATTTGAACAAAAATTCGTACTAGCACATTTATGAACCTTATAAAGATAAACATAATATTTTTTTGTAAAATTTTTCAAAACTAACAAAAATTTTCTTATATTTACTTTTATATGTCTTCAGAAACACAAAATTCTCGGGGGAAATTTTAATAACTCAAAATTTGTTTAACGAATTTTGAGTTTTTCCATCTTTTTGGAAAGACAATTTTGTAGACATTACGATTTTGCTATAAAATGGTGCAATAATTAATACTTAAAGCCTCATTTTGTGAAAAAACTCCAAAAAGTGCCATTTTTCCCATATAAACGCATTTACAAACTTTGGCGGCGATGCGCGGGCTCTTACCCTCAAAATAATTGAATAATATTTTACAGTCTTCCATTTGACGTTAAAATACAACACAATTTCACTATTAGATGTTGATCCGAGCGAAAAGCCTATTTTCGACCCACCCTAATATACATACATACATACATACAATAACAAAATCTCACTAAAAAATCATCAAAATGCTTAAATTTAAATCAATTTTTATTTAAAGAAAATATCTAAATTTATAAGTATAGTAATTTATAATTTTATAAATTTTAAATTAATTAACAATTTCTATTAGCAATAATTATCAATTACTTTATTTACTTTTGCCAACATTAAACACAAAAACATACAATATACTAAAACAAATTGCATACAATAACAAAGTCTTACTGAACAAACAACCCATCAAGTTTTATTGTTCAGTCGGCTTGATTTGTACTAACCAGTCAAACTATCAGTTTTTTTTACGTCCCTTAGTAAGAAAACGAAACCAAGAACTAAGCAATATGTAAGCAGCACACGCAAATCTGTTTTTACTGTTCAGTCGTTGTGTTCAGTTCGGCTGAGTTGAAAAACTTAACATGGCCGCTGCTTGTGTGTTTGGCTGCTGAAGAAAAACAAAACCACTTGCAAGTTATTGCAGCAGTGTGTTGACACAGTTGACTGACTTCAGTTAGCTTGTGAGGGAAAAATAAATACTTGAACTTTCTTCAGTTCGGTCGACATTTAAAAAAATAAAACTAAATATTAAACCCTGTGTTGATAGCAGATACGCTCCTGGTCAACTTTATAAAATTTGTCTTATTTTTTGCTCTTATGTTTTGTTTCTTAAAAAACCGTAATAAATTTCTAAAAGTAATGCATATATATTTACATACAATATTATATCAATATTTACATATTTAAAAATTGTTTATTTCTTTTCCTCATTACTTTGTTCATACTTGTAACTATACATACTTACGTACATAAAAAGTCTCCACTTTTTACTTGCATTCTCTGAGTGCAATATTTTCATAATGCAATATCTCAGAGTACACTATCTCAGAGACATAGTTATATATGTATGATAGATTGTATTATTTAAAGTAAATAAATAGTAAATATATATGCATTACGGTTTTTGGGCTATTTTATGTAAATTTTTGTATTAACTCTTGTATTGTTTTAAAAGAAATTATTTTGTCATTCGATTTTTAGCACTTCAATAAAGAAGTTAGCTTATAATAATTTTCGCTTTTTTTTTGCATTTTCATTGCCTGCAAAAACTATTGCAGACACAAACATTGGTGACCCCGACGTGATCGGTTTTATTATTGTATATCAATTCGGATATTGTTAATTAATATCAATTCGGATATTAATTATTTTATTGTAGTCCATCTTTGTGAATTCGTCGTGTCGTTTTCGTTAGATCTGTGTTGCGTTCTTGTTACTCCATAGACGATATACATTTTGTTCGCCATGTCAACGAATCAACCTGAAAAATCTGCCGACATCGAGGAAGCAGAACATTCGCAGAACTTATTGCCCTTTAAAACAAAAGCTACTGCAATGATAAAGCAGCTAGAGAATTTGAACCAAACTTGAACCCCATCTCAGCTAAAGGAGTATGATGACGCGGAGCTGTCCGTTCGCTTGAGCTACATCGAGGAGGTTAATAAAAGCTATGAAATGGCACAAAGTATCATCGAAGAAAATGAAATCAGCGAGTTGGATGGTACTGATCGCATGTGTTTCGTCTCGTTGTACCTTGATGTTAAATCTAAGTTAACTCGCCAACTCAATGCCACTCGTAAGTTTGATTTAAACCCGCGTAGTTCAACATTGCGCCAATTTTCGCTCGATGAGTCGCCATATTCTCAAACATCGCTTCGTAAAACAAAAGTTCCCGAAATTCAATTACCAAAATTCGTTGGTGCTTATTCGGAATGGCCAAATTTCTTTTCGTTATTCAAGACCGTTATACATAACAACAATGATTTAAGCAAACTAGAAAAATTCCACTATTTACGTGCAAGTTTAGGCGAAGCTGCCCTCGACACTATAGTTTCATTGGAACTCAACGATGCAAATTATGAGGAAGCTTTGTTATTGTTAAAAAATCGTTTTGACAATAAGCTATTAAATTTCCAAACTCACATCAAAGAGATATTTTCCTTAAATTGTGTTGAAAACGGTTCAGCTGTTAGCTTACGTCGTTTGAGTGATAAATTAAATGCACATTTACGTGCTATGCAAACGATCGGTAATCAACAACAAATTGCCGACGGGCTTTTAATTTATTTAGTGTCAACAAAATTGGACACGAAGACTCGAATGAAATGGGAGGAGAACTTGTCAATTAATGAGTTACCAACCTGGAACTCAATGTCAACATTTTTAGAACGCAGGTGTCGTATGGTTGAGAATTTAGAAAACTCAGCTTTAAGTAAGTCCTCAAACCCACCTGGTTCCAAAAAACTTCATCAACAATATCGTCATGTTCATGTCTCTACCGCCACTTCGTCGGCTTTGTGCACATTTTGCGATTCCAAAGATCATTTCATCACTAAATGTTCACTTTTTGGAAATTTGTCCCCTTCCCTCCGTTTTAAAGAAGCAAAAAGACTGAGGTTATGCCTAAATTGTTTAAAAAAAGGGCATATGCTCAACAGCTGTATTTCAGGTAATTGCCAACAGTGTTCTTTGAAACACCACACAATGTTGCACATCGAGAAGGTTAAGACAGATGAACCCACAAAATCTTCGGCGGATCAAACAGCTCCAACTACTTCGCAAGCAGTACTGATTTCTTCTGGCCCACCTCATTTCACAAAGACGCCATCCTCGAATGTTTTGCTGGCTACTGCAATTGTTATGGTAAAAAATCAATTCGGATTTTTTGTACCTTGTCGTATTATATTAGATTCTGCATCGCAACTCAGCCTAATCACAAGACGCTTCGTAAATCAACTTTGTTTAAAATGCAATCGGATTCAGGCAAGTATCTCTGGAATTGGCGATGGAGGTTATACTATAGATAAATCTGTTGATATTGTAATAAAATCTTTACATGGAGATTATTCAACCACGCTAACTGCGATGGTCGTCCCTAGCATAACGGATTACCAACCTGATTTTAACAGAAATAGACCAGAATGGAATATTCCCAAAAATATAGAGCTCGCAGATCCCTCTTTTGACAAATGTGGTCGTATCGATGGTTTAATAGGTGCCGAGTTGTTTTTTGATTTAATGTCAGTTGGACAAGTCAAATTAGCTGATAATCTACCGGTGCTGCAAAAAACATTAATAGGTTGGGTAGTTGCTGGTGGTGGTTTTCGTACCCAACATTACAGGTCGTTGGCTGTCAGTTGTAATACGTTCGAGCAAGAGAATCAATTGTGTTCCATCATAAAAGGTTTTTGGGAAGTTGAAAACAATTTTGAAATCAATCCACTATCAATTGAAGACATTCATTGCGAAAATCACTTTTTGGAAAACACAGTCCGTCTTAATACTGGCGAGTTTTCTGTGCGGTTACCTCAGATCGAAGGGCGTGGTGCGGATTCACTTGGCGAGTCGTATAGCCGAGCTCTACATCGATTTAAGACTCTGGAAAGGAAACTCAAAAAGCTCCCGGATATTAAAGCACAATATGCAGAATTTATGAGTGAGTACATTGCATTAAATCACATGTCGTTAATTTCTCCACAGAGCGAACCAAAGAAATATTTTCTCCCACATCACTGTGTGCATAAAATAGACAGCACATCTACAAAATTAAGGGTCGTTTTTGACGGCTCTGCAAAAACAACAAGTGGTTTGTCGCTCAACGATATTTTGTACGCTGGTCCAACTATTCAGCCCAAACTATTTAACACCCTATTGCGGTATCGGTTTTTTAAGGTTGCCCTAAGTGGAGACATTTGTAAAATGTACAGGTGTGTTCGATTGTCTTACCCAGATGACTATTTACAATGTATACTGTGGAGAGCAGATGAAAGTGAGGAGATAAAGACATACAAATTAAACACTGTTACCTACGGTACAAAGCCCGCTGCATTTTTGGCAATCCGCACCATGCACCAACTCGCAACTGAAGAAGAAGGTAAATTTTCATTGGCTGCTAAAATAGTAAGACGTGACTTTTATGTAGATGACATGATTTCTGGTGGTGACACTGTCGAAGAGGCTATGGAGATAAGGCAACAGGTAGCAGCTTTACTACAAACTGGCAATTTTTTCATAAGGAAATGGTGTTCAAATGTTCCTGCAGTCTTGAATGAAGTACCTCCAGATCAATGTGAACAATTTTTAAAATTTAAAGACGGAACAGATGTTACCAAAACACTTGGACTTGTTTGGGATCCAAAGAGTGATAACTTCATCTTTTCGTTTACACCTGTTGATAATTGTAAAGTTATAAATAAACGATCCATTTTATCATCAATTGCTCGTCTATATGACCCTCTCGGTTTAATTGGTCCAGTCATCACAAAGGCCAAAATCTTCATGCAGCATTTATGGAAGCTTCAACTACAGTGGGATGAAAGTCTCCCACAATCGTTACATTTGTCATGGCTCGAATATATTTCGAAATTTGATTCTATCCATTATTTCACATTTCCTCGCTATGTTTCAACGCCAAATTCAAAAATAGAAATTCATGCATTTTGTGATGCCAGCCTAGCTGCTTATGGTGTTTGCGTATACATTCGTACTGAACTCGATGGTGTCGTAAAGTTATCATTGCTGTGCTCTAAGTCGAGAGTTTCACCCCTCAAAAGTTTAACGGTACCAAAACTTGAGCTTTCTGCAGCGTGTCTTCTAGCTGAACTCGTGGATGTAATTATCAATACCTTACCGTTCGATTGTGTTGTACACTGTTGGTCAGATTCCATGGTAGTGCTGTCGTGGCTTCGAGAGCAGCCATCAAATTTCAACGTTTTCGTTTCAAATAGAGTTTCTCGTATACAAACACTCACTAGTCAAATGTCGTGGCATTATGTTCCTACAAAGTTAAATCCAGCTGACATCTTATCAAGAGGTGCATCGCCTGAAGAACTGTTAAATTCTACCCTATGGAGTTGTGGACCAAATTTTTTGCGTCATGAACCATCAATGTGGCCAGATAGTGTCGAGTTTTTAGCTGAACTACCTGAACGACGTCGTAACATATTGGTAGCGGTTTCGCTGTCGGATTTGTCGATACAATGTAAGTATCACAATTCATTTTTAAAAATGCAACGAATATTTGCGTATGTTTTTAAATTTATATATTCCAAATCGAGAGGCAAAAATGCAGTTTTAACACCAAGTGACATCAAAAATGGAACACAACTTTTAATCAAAAATATTCAGCTAACACATTTTGCTCCTGAATACAAAGTATTAAAAGCAAATCAAAACATATCGTCGTCTAGCAAGCTTTTTTCGTTGATGCCCATAATCGATTCCATTGGCTTAATTCGTGTCGGTGGCCGACTTCAGCACTCAATTCTAGATTTTGATGCACGCCATCCAGTCATTCTACCCAAACAACACCCATTTACAAAGTCGTTGGTAATGTATTATCACCAGAAGCTGTTACATGCTGGCCCACAATGTTTGTTGGCTTCAATTCGTCAGCAGTATTGGCCCCTTGGAGGACGAAAACTTATTAGCTCCATAATTTCTAAGTGCTTGCGTTGTTATAAATTGAAGCCAAAATTGAGCCAGCACGTTATGGGATGCCTACCACCCGATCGAGTCAGGCCAAATAATGCTTTTCATACAACTGGAGTGGATTATTGTGGGCCGTTTTATTATAAATCTGAAGTGAGAAATCGTCCACCAGTTAAATGCTATATATCGATTTTTATATGCTTTTCGACAAAAGCGTCTCATTTGGAGGTCGTCCAAGATTTATCGACGTCATCGTTTTTGTCTGCCTTGCGTCGTTTTGTTGCGATTAGGGGCAAACCCAAGGTAATTTGGTCGGATAACGCAACAAATTTCGTGGGAGCCAAAAATGAGCTGGCTGAGTTAAAACAGCTATTTTTCAGCCAATCACATCAGAAAGCGCTCCAGCAGCAATGCCTTGAAGATGGAATAGAATGGTCATTTATCCCTCCTAGGTCGCCCCACTTTGGTGGATTGTGGGAGGCGGCTGTTAAGTCTGCAAAATTACACTTCTATCGCACAGTTGGCCTCAATAAATTGACGTTTGATGAGTTGCGCACCTTAATATGTGAAATATCTGCAATTTTAAATTCTCGCCCGCTATGCCCCATTTCGGAAGATCCCAATGATCTTGAGGTTCTGACACCGGGGCACTTTCTAATTGGTGGCCCTCTAATTTCCATAGTTGAACCCAGTATAACCGATTTAGACATAAGCCGTTTGAGTAGATGGCAAAGAGTTTGTCAAATGAAGCAGATTTTTTGGCAAAGGTGGAGCAACTCCTATCTAACTTTACTACAAGAGCACACAAAGTGGCGTGAACAAACTGAAAATATCGTTATTGGATCAATGGTCTTATTGAAAGATGAAAATCAACAGCCCTTAAAATGGCAAATAGGTCGTATTACTGACGTCATACGCGGTGATGATAATGTAGTTCGTGTAGTGATGGTTCAAACTAGCAACGGATTAATGAAGCGTGCTGTATCAAAGGTAGCAGTCTTGCCAATAGACTCATTGGTTGAAAGCCGTAGTCTTCCAACGGGGGGAGGATGTTGATAGCAGATACGCTCCTGGTCAACTTTATAAAATTTGTCTTATTTTTTGCTCTTATGTTTTGTTTCTTAAAAAACCGTAATAAATTTCTAAAAGTAATGCATATATATTTACATACAATATTATATCAATATTTACATATTTAAAAATTGTTTATTACTTTTCCTCATTACTTTGTTCATACTTGTAACTATACATACTTACGTACATAAAAAGTCTCCACTTTTTACTTGCATTCTCTGAGTGCAATATTTTCATAATGCAATATCTCAGAGTACACTATCTCAGAGACATAGTTATATATGTATGATAGATTGTATTATTTAAACATATTTAACTACCTGATTGTAAATATATATGCATTACGGTTTTTGGGCTATTTTATGTAAATTTTTGTATTAACTCTTGTATTGTTTTAAAAGAAATTATTTTGTCATTCGATTTTTAGCACTTCAATAAAGAAGTTAGCTTATAATAATTTTCGCTTTTTTTTGCATTTTCATTGCCTGCAAAAACTATTGCAGACACAAACACCCTGCTTGAGACTTGTCATTTCAAAAACATACAAAAAATTCACATATGTACGAATTCACATAAAGTCCGTTTTGAAAACGTTTGAGAAACTTTTGGATTTTTATTATACTCACGCAGTAAAATAGTAAGTGCATCCTGCATTTTATCATCAAAGTTATTTATTCGTCTTAATAAATAACAAATTTCTTCATATAATGGTTGGAATTTGTTTAAATAGTTAATTATACCCTACACCACTATAGTGGGAAGGGTATTATGCGTTTGTGCTGATGTTTGTAACGCATTAAAATATTAGTACTACACCCACCTTAAAGTATACCGATCGACTCAGAATCACTTTCTGAGTCGATTTAACGATGTCCGTCCGTCCGTCCGTCCGTCCGTCCGTCCGTCCGAACGACCGACCGTCCGTGTGTCCATGTAAACGTTGTTATCAAAGTACAGGACGCAATTTTCAAGATAATTTGATGAAATTTGGAATACGCGTTTGTTTTGACCCAAGCCTATTGAAAATGGTTGAAATCGGACCATTATTTCACCTAGCCCCCATACAACTGAACCCCCGAAAAGGGCTTTTGAGCTCATAATTATGTATAATATAAGAGTATCTCGATGAAAGTTCGCACAACTAAGTTTTATACAAGCTTTGATAATCTTGCCGAATTTCGAAATGATCGGACTTCATTTAACCCTAGCCCCCACACAAAGCCCCCTTCAGAAAGTGACTTGAATATCCGCAATTCATTTATTACCACTGTTATTGCAATGATATTTAGCACAGACAAATATTATATATATTATATAAATACAAATCTATCCAGCCCATTTTATAGGGATCGGTCCACATTTGCTCCTATCCCCCATATAAGGTCCCCTTCAGAAAATGACTTTAACGCTCATAACTGTCTTATGAGCCGATCCTTATAAAATTTTACAATGATATTAAGGTTCCTATAAAATATGTTCATGTCGAATTTCATCGCTATTGATGCAGTTATGAGCGTCAAAGCCATTTTCTGAAGCGGACCTTATATGGGGGATAGGATCAATTATGAACCGATTCTTATAAAATTTTACAAAGCGATTTAGGTTCCTGTAAAATATGTTCATGTCGAATTTCGTCGCTATAGATGCTTCGTTTAGACAGTTTTGAGCGTTAAAGTCATTTTGTGAAGGGGACCTTATATGGGGGGTAGGGTCAATTATGGACCGATCCTTATACAATTTTACAAAAGTATTAAGGTTGTTATCAAATATGTTGATGTCGAACTTCATCGCTATAGCTGCTTCATTTAGTCAGTTATGAGCGTTAAGTTCATTTACTGAATGGGACCTTAATGGAGGAAAGGGTCAATTATGGACCGATCCTTATAAAATGTTGCAATAATATTAAGGTTCCTATAAAATATGCTCATGTCGAATTTCATTGCTATAAATGCTTCTTTAAGGCGGTTATGAACGTTAAAGTCATTTTCTGAAGGGGATCTTATATGGGGGGTGGAGTCAATTATGGACCGATCCTTATGGACGTTATATGGGAACCGATATTGCCCACTTTCAATACCAAACAAACTCAATACAAAATGTCTGTGCAAAATTTCAGCCCGCGAGCTACTTCCATTTGGACTCTATCGTGATTTCAACAGACAGACGGACGGGCATAGCTAGATCGTCTTAGAATTTAATAAGGATCCAGAATATATATACTTTTATGGCTCTTAGATGAATATTTCGATGTGTTACAAACGGAATGACAAAAACAATATACCCCATCTTTTTTGATGGTGGGTATAATAAATCACATTAAATATTCATAACTGGTGTAGGGTATCATATAGTCGGCCAAGCCCGACTATACTTTCTTACTTGTTTTTATTATTTTAAATGCCAACTTTTTACTAATTTCCTGATTGTCTGAAATTGTAAATCTAAAATTTTTAAAAATCACAATAAACAAGTTAGAGTGCTATATTCGGCTGAGCCGAATCTTAAATACCCTCCACCAGCTACTTTTATATTAATACTTTTCTAATTGATCAAATATTTGTAGAAATAAGTTTTATCATATCTTAAATAGAAAAATCCCTAGATTCAAACAGCTCAAATCTATCACAATTCCAAGATTTATTGAACATTACCAACGCTTGGCGATTTTTATTAATTTGCATGTATGCATGTGTGTGAAAGATTTAAGGATTTTCAAAATACATATATATAATTTTGTTCTACACAAATTGATAATGCAACTAGTTAAATACGGTTTTAGGGGCAGGACCTAGTATGGGAGATATGACCAATTATAGACCGATCGTAAAAAATTCTTTAAGCAAAACTTCTGGACATGAAAGCTATATTTCAGTAAAATTTTGTATCTATATCGTAATTTAGTAATAAGTAATGTGTGTTATGAACCGATCGTGCAAAAATCTTGAAATAGAATTTTTGTATCAATAGCTTTATTTGGTAATGAGTAATGTGCATTTAAGAGATTTTCGAAAGAGGACTTTGTATGGGAGCCAGAGTTGTCAACTATTTTATACTAAAACGCGCCGTCCATTCACTCAAAACGCACTAAAAAGCGCTAAAATTATATTTTTACACAGTCTTAAAAAATATAGTATTTAGCTAAAATTTTTTTATTAAAAAAATTACTACAAATATGTTTGATTTTCTTATTCAATGACTAATTGCTATCATCGATCAAGATCTCAATAACTAGTCAAAGAGATTTTTTTAAATTCCCCATAATAAATTTTAATTAAACTCTTCATTTCCAAAAATACTAAGAGCCAAAACTTTGTGAAAAAACTGAAGTAATCGTCAAGTAATTGTTTCCTTGACAGTGAAGTTATAAAAAAAGAATGCTAAATTTTTGTGAATCAAACTTTGTGCGATCAAAATTATTTTTGTATTATTCACATTAAAATATCAATAGTTTTCACGAAATGCAATTTTAATTTCAAGTTCAAGTTAACCTAACTAAAATTAAGTTAATTTACAACTTTTCCCTTTTTTGACGTGAAAAACTTCCCTTGTTGTGAATTTTTTATAGAATTTTCTGATCAATAAAAACTGTTACGATCAAAATCAACTGTTGTGGAATTTCACGAAATCAATTTTCCCTTCGAAGGTATTGAAAATTTAAGAATAAACAGATTTCAATTCTTTTGGCGAAAAAGGTGAATATTTTTTATTTTAGTTTTAAAGTTTTAAAATAACTCATCACACTAAAAGATCTTTGAATTACTCATAATATGGAAAGTTTAGAAAAAGGAACTTTAATAAATTTGTACGGCAGAGTACTGTCTAAAATTATTCCGTTTTATCTTTATTGTTAAACTAGAATAATTTTATGTTATTAAAAAGATTTTTCATTTGTTGAAATAAGCGTTAATTTAGCGCCTTTTTCCAAAAAAGCGCTAAGAGGAAAAAATGCGACTTTTGGATTGTTAAAAGGGGCTAAATCTAGCGCCAAAAGCACTAAATTGGCAACGCTGATGGGAGCTATGACTAATTGTGTATATAAAAACAAAATTTCAAAATTCTGCATTTATATCATTATTTGGTAATGAATATTGTACGTTTAAGTAATTTTCTGGAGGGTGCCTAGTATGAGAGCTATGACCAAGTATGGACCGATCGTAAAACAATTTTATAGTGTAATTTATGTATATAAGAGCAATATTTGTGGTAAATGTATGGATATTTTAATTTAGTAATGAGTTATGTGCATTTATGTGATTTTCGGGAGGGAACCTTGCATGGGAGCTATGACCAAGGATGGACCAATAGGAAAAAAAATTTTAGAGTAATATTTCTGTGTATATGAGCAATACTTGTACAAAATTTTATATGGATATCTTAATTTAGTAATGAGTTATGCGCGTTTAAGTGATTTTCGGGAAGGGACCTTGTATGGGACTATGACCAAGGATGGACTGATAGGAAAAAAATTTTACAGTAATATTTCTGTGCATATGAGCAATACTTGTACAAAATTTTATATGGATATCTTAATTTAGTAATGAGTTATGCGCGTTTAAGTGATTTTCGGGAAGGGACCTTGTATGGGAGCTATGACCTATTATGGACCGATCGGAAAAAAATTTCACAGTAATATTTCTGTTCATTTGAGCAATACTTGTACCAAATTTTATATGGATATCTTAATTTAGAAATGAGTTATGCGCGTTTAAGTGATTTTCGGGAAGGGACCTTGTATGGGAGCTATGACCTATTATGGACCGATCGGAAAAAAATTTCACAGTAATATTTCTGTTCATTTGAGCAATACTTGTACTAAATTTTATATGGATGTCTTATGTTAGTAATGATTTATGCGCGTTTAAGTGATTTTCGGGAGGGGACCTTGTATGGGAGCTATGACCAATTATGGACCGATGGAAAAAAAATTCCACAGTAATATTTCTGTATATGTGAGCAATACCTGTACCAAATTTTATGTGGAT